TGTTTGAAAAGCACTACTTGGGGAGATTAGGTCAGCCTTGGACCTGCAAATGGCACAGCTGTTTAAAAATCAGGAACTTGATTTAGATCTTGCTGTGAGTTTATCTACAATAAAACATCATTTACCCACAGACACAGACTTTATGCAAATAAAAGCTTGAGGTTGTTAAGAAAACTCAAAAAGAGTAACTTAAGATAGAAGCAATACAATCTTATTAAAATTGGTTTCAACATAATGAGCTCATAATTCTCCCAAATATATTTATTTTTTTCTTAAAGTTTAAAGGTTGGAATTAAGCTCTGTGTTCTCCTGAATACTTAAGGAAAGTAGATCTATCTGCAATCCTACAACCGTCTTTGGAAACCCTAACGTTGGTGACGCTCATTCTGTAAAGAGAAAGAGTTCGGTGTCTGTTGAGACCAGACAAGAATCATTAATATATTTGCATAATTAGGATATTAAAAATATCTAATACTGGTATAGTATTTTATTGTTTCAAAAACACTATCATATCCATTTTCTGACTTCATCTTAGGGACTGAAACATGACTCTATCCAGTTATGAAGTCTGAGACTAGCCTCCATTATCACATTTGATCTGTGTTTTCCCCAACATTAAAAGGAGCAGAAACTCAGGGAGGTAGCTAAAACATTTGTGCCAGCCATTTCATTTGGTTTTAAAATCAGGTTTGTGGCCAGGGCTGTGTGTTTCACTTCACACATGCACAAAGAAAACTCTATTACCAACTGAAATTTTATCGTCACTGTAGTCATTCTGCAAATGTGTAACCTCTGTTAGAAGAGGAAAGGAACAACAAAAAACACAGAGTTTAATATATACCCATCCAACACATGCACCTGCTGCAGTGTTGACATACTCATGACTACACGTTATATTTAATATACCATAAAGCCTGGTCTGTGAGTAACTTGTTCTGTGAGTGTTCCACAGGATGAGCAAACATAAGTACATTTTAACTTGGTAAAGAGCTATGTCTTGCAATACGAGGAGTACGTGATGCCGAACGTCACATGATCACAACGGAACCAATGGTTCTTGAAATTCGCTTTGATATACAAGTGCTTTGGATTACAAGCATGTTTCCAGAATGAATTATGCTTGCATATATGCAAGCTTACATATATATATGCTTACATATATATATGTACATATATATACATACATATATAAATATGCTTACATATATATATGTATTGCATATATATTATATATATATTATATATATATATTATACTATAGCTTTAAAAGTGAGAGTTATATTAATATTGCCAAAATTAAGGCAAACTACTTATTTTAAAACTAAGACTATGGTGAGTCAGTTGCAATTATGAACTTCAAACAACCTCTTCATATGATGTGAGAATAAGAATGCACGGAAGTGTGGGCACAGGGATACAGGCATAAATGATACATTTCGCACACTGAGATTAGCAACCAGGTCCGGGAAGGGGCTGTCCTGCTCTTGGCTGGCCCAGGCCCTTAGGTAAAAACAACGAAATGAGTGAGATGTTATGATTAAAATGTCAACTCTGACCCCTCAAAAGACAGCTCATGGGGTGCTGCTAATTTTATTATGATGTTTTGACAACATTACATGATATTTTTAAATGGAGATAATTAGAAAAAGATGATTTATCAAGGGACAAAATAAAAAAATAGATATAATCTTAGTATTATCTCAAAAAAAAAAAGAAAGAAAAAAGAAAAAGGCAGATATAGGCATTTTACCAGGAATCAACCATTTGATTTTTTTGTGGAACCCTTGAGAAAGCCCCCACATACTCAGGCAAAACCAAAAAACCCAGTAGTAATCTGTCATTCTTCTTTATCAACATGTAAAATTTTATGGAAATTTGCCTTCTTAAATAAATGCAGACAATATCAACAACAGAAGAGGGTGTAGGTTTCTGCTATCATAGTCTTCACAGATCTTAGGGCATTTTTTGTAGTTTTATCTTTGTCATATTGAGAGAGAGTCTATATACAAAGAATCCAAATTCAGTTTACTTGGTAATTTGTATTGATCAAGCTCACCACCACGCAATATCATCAGAACTCCTCTGAGGAAAGTGACAGCTAATGCCAATACCTTTTCTCACTGTAATAATCTCCTACAACTTCTCAGAAATAAAGTGCTTGGCGATGTATTGCAACCCTTCACTTTTTTATGCTAACCTTCTCACTGAATTTGTTTCTCTAAGACTTTCTCTTGTTCTTCCTTCTTATCTCTTCTTATCCTGACTTTCTTCTTCTTATCCCGACTTCTTCTTATCCTGACTTTCTATAAGCTCATTAAGGTGATATAAAGGGTTAGCAACAATTGCCCCTCCTCCAAGAAATTATGTAACAACTCAAATGAAACAAAATCAAAATACAAATGCTGAATAAAAAGTTCACCAGAATGTCATGACACTGTCCTTTCCCCTATAGTGATTAATCTCCAGTGGCTATTCCTTCCATGGGTCCTTCATTTTCAAAAGGAAGCTTCTAGAGACCAAGGGTCTAAACTGTGTTGTGTACACTGTGAGGATCCAAAATGAACCTGTTCCCTGTTTCATGAGTTAATATCTCATGTTTATATATAAGTATTATTATTAATGTCAACTCACATAGGTTTAAAATGACACCTGCTACATACACCACTATCTCCCCTGGCTTAATCCTAATAAATAATGATAGCCCAAATACCTGTGCCTCTGGGGGAAGTAGCTAGAAAATCAGATCCATACCAGCTGAAGGTGACTCACAGAGTATAGAGTTTGAACTGCTGTGTGGGCTCGTCTTAACCACAGTAACACCTGTTGTACCTGAATGACAGAGTTCAGCGCTATAAGAAAGCATTGTTGCTGCTTTGTATAAGACATAACTATATTTTTTTAAAGTCAAATTAGGTTAGTAACTTGCATGCCTGGCAAGTTACTGACCTAGGCTTCAAGGGAATTAAGGAGAGCTTATCTAACAATCGACCTCTTGAATTTTAAAGCCTGTGCCTTTTCTCAAGGTCATGGGGGATATACCAGTTTTTAAAAAGGGTTTCTGACGTGGCTCTTTCTTCCAGGGAACTCTCATTTAAATGATGAAAATGCAGAGAATTGTAAAAAGCAAAATGAGAATAACTTCAGAAGAACATTGACCAAGGAGTGGTTAAATGGGTTGGATTGAAGTATAAGATACAATTTAGAGTATAGATCCCTGGTCCAGATGAGAGTGAAAGAAATTATCCTTGTATTCTCATCTCTCATGAAAACTACTGCTCATCTAAAACTCTTGCCATTAGATTCTACATTGTTTCCCACTTTACTTCTGACTTTTTAAAAAAATATTTTTTAAAAAGGTTGATTTATTTGAGAGAGATAGAGACAGCGTGAGTGGGGGTGCGGCAGAGAGCATGAGAGGGAGACAGAATCCCAAGTAAGCAGTGCAGAGCCCGATGCAGGGGCTTGAACTCACAAAACTGTGAGATCATGACCTGAGCTGAAACCAAGAGTCGAACACTCAACTGACTGAGCCACGCAGGTGTCCTGTCCACTTCCTGGACACCTCTTTTCATTTGCTGAAGGCTTGGGCACTGAGCTCACTTTTTTTTCCCATAGTATTTAACTTTTCTCTACTGGCCCATTTTCAGCATGATTTCAAGCAGCTAATTTTTATTCTTGCATCCGTTATCATATTTTTTATCCTTAAAAATATAAAGTATACCCCACATTTGCTTCCAATATATTTAACACAATATGGCCAGAACAGACATTTTAAAAAATGTTTTTAAGTTTATTTATTTATCTTGAGAGAGACAGAGACAACACGTGAGCAGGGAAGGAGCAGAGAGAAAGGGAGAGAGAGAGAATCCCAAGCAGGCTTCACGTTGTCAGTGCAGAGCCCAATGCAGGGCTTGAACTCATGAAACTGTGAGATCATGACCTGAGCTGAAAATAAGAGTTGGACGCTTAACCCTCTGAGCCACCCAGGCGTCCCCAGAACAAACATTTTTTAGAATGAAAATTCAATTTGTGATTTATGACAAAAATGCCATCAAATTTTTCCCATTGTATTTCTGATGAAATCTCAACCTCAGCCTTTGTTATATTAGTGTTGGTCCGCCTTCCCCTTTGCTGTCTATTCTCTAACAACACTGGATCTCTTCTAGTTCCTCATAAGCACTCTGTTCTCTCGCTTTCAAAAACTCTACTTGCTCAGCCTGGGACTTCTCACTCTCCTCGCCAAGATTTTCTTCCTCCAAGTACCAGTTTCAACATCACTGGGCAAGGCAGCCTTCCCTGCCTGCTTCCCAGCTTGACAAATTATAATCTCCATTCTTTCTCCAAATCCCGTTCTGAGAGGTAAATCGCCTGTTCCCATATTTTAGCAATCATCTAAAACTTTACCAAATTCATCATCATAATCCTTATCCATCTTTCTTTGTATTTCTACCCCCATAACCCCCAGCCTTTTGAGTGGTGAGATGAACTCGGAAAATGGCTTTTTCCAAGCATGGGGAAAGGATACCGCAAGCAAGTTCATTCAACATTATCCTCAGGCTGCGGTTCGCGTTGTTGGAAGCTGTGCTACACCAGTTCCTTTAGCTATTTTCACACATAATAAACACATTTACGGGCATAAGAACTAGAGAAACTGCATTTTTTTAATCCTATAGGCACAATGCCTCAGGGGCAGCTTGTTCAAAGTCTTCACTCAGCACTCTTTTCAAAATAGAATTAAATAGAATTTATTTTAATTCCAAAAATCTGGATGTCATAAGAAAGTCATTTTTTCTGACTCCAAGTACTCTCAATTAATGTAAAGTCAAGACAAAACACTATTCCAACAGAAAGCAGAGCATCAGAGCACTGTTGGAAATGTTATCATTCAAAGATCTAGACAAAGATAACCACATCTGAAAGAGAGGGAGCCCCTGGCTTGTCAGAGGGCTGGAGCAACTAGGTTATGCATTTTCAACAGAAAAGCAAATAAGGACACTTACGCATGTCACCGAAGGCCCCCTTTGTCACTTTGGTGGCACGTAACACCACTACTGTGAACTTGTGGGAATACTGGTGCTCCACCTGGAAACAAATAATAGTAAATTACAAATTAGCTTCCAAGATAGGATCCAAGCAAACTATGCTCGTTGTTTCCTTGAGACTGGTTGAAAACATTCAGGGTGAAGGGAAGTAACATTCATACCAGAAACATCCTTTGATCCCAGGGCTGCTCCTTATTCGATTCTCTCTCTCCTCTCTCCCACCACAGAATTATTGAGAAGTTTAGATCATGCTTTAAAAAATGTCACTACAACTTGACTGCTGGAACTTTTCTGCTGTCAGGTTTACCAAGCTTGAGGGAAAATGTAAATCAGGACTGCAAGCCTTCTAGGAAGACAATCAGGCTTTGTACTGAATGATGAGGAAGCCCTGGCTTAGAGAGGCAAAGTCAGAGCAAGATGTTTGCATTATTCAGATTTGTTTGCTTTTATTGTTACTGTTCAATGAAAGTTTTCTTTGGCAAGACATTTCCAGAGCAGTTTTAAAAATCTTTTGGATCCAAGGCAATGACTGGAAAACTACTTATGTTAATTTTAATGCATTTGTTATAAACCATATGTAACGATGTTAAAATTTTCTATTAGCCCAATAGCTTGTATGCACATAATAAATAATAACTGGTTGAAGATTATTAAATACTTCACCTAACTTGAAAGTAGTCACTAAACAACTCTATCAACCAAAACAGAGTAAGGAAGCAGGAATTCACTAAGTTCTCTGAGCAACTGGAAAGATTACAAAATCTTTATCTGAAGCTCAAGCTTGTTTCATCTTAGAAGAAGCACACACTTATAAGCTACTCTTATCTTTCCTGACTTTAAACAGACTTGCTTAACACTTTAAAAAGTCCATAATTGATTTTAAAAAGGTAAGATACTGGCAATACTGAAAAATGAGTAATGACAGTCTAAAATCGAGGAGGTAGAAAAAACTATAAAACAGATTCATATATAGGACCAGCAGTAGTGAGATATAGAACCAAAAGTTATATAACATTCAACAGTTTCTGAAGATATCACTCTCTCAATAGAATAATTTATGTTCAGATTTGTAATGTAGCATCAGGAAGAGGTGAAGTCCTGAATGATGAGCATACTTTATTTAAAAAGGCAGAGAAGCATATAAAATCTTTCAAGATAATTCTTACTCAAGTTTATTATTGAAGAGAAATATCTTCTATAGCCAGAGGTGCCTGAGTAGTCAAAGTTTTATTCTGTATAAATGAAATTATCAATTATAAATTAAATGAATGCTTGTAAAAAAAAAAAAGTGTGTTGCCCTATACAACTGAAAATAACACACACTGACCCCACCAAAAAAAAAAAAAAAAAAAAAAAAAAAAAAAACTTCACTGTATTAGTTAGAGACTTCAATACCCCTCTATCAGAAATAGAACCATCAGGCAGCAAATTAGTAAGGACACGTTGGAACTCAACAGCACCATCAGTCAACTAGATATAATTGACATTATGGGCTACTTCATCCAACATCAGAATACACATTCGTAAGCTCATGTTGAACAATCATACGATACATACTCTCAGACCACAATTGAATTAAACTGGCAATCAAAACTGAATGACATCTGGAAAATCACAAAGTACTTGGAGATTAAATAACTCACTTTTAAATAACACATATGCCAAAGAAGAAGTCTCAAGAGAGATTTTTAAATATTTGGAACTAAATGAAAATGAAACTACAACTTATCAAAATTTGGGGGATGCAGCAAAAGTAGTGCTTAGAGGGAAATGAAATAATATGTATTTTGACATACATATTATTTCACATATACATATATTTCAAATTTTATTTCATGATATGAATATATGAAAAAAGAAAGATCTAAAATCAATCACCTAAGTGTCTACTAGAAAATTAAGTCCAAAGTAAGCAGAAGAAACAGTAAAAATTAGAGCAGGAATGAATAAAATTGAAAATGGAAAATCAACAAAGAAAATCATTGACACTAAAAGTTGGTTCTGTGAAAAGAGTAACAAAATTGATAAGCCAGGCTACATAAGAAAAAAAAGAGAGCACAAATTATAAATATCATAAATGAATGAGGGAAGTTCACTCCAGATTCTATGGACATTAAAAAGATAATAAAGGAATACTATGAACAACTCCAAGCCCACAATTTAATAACCTAGATGAAATGGACCAGTTCCTTGAAAGACATAATCTACCAAAACTCACACAAATGGAAACAGACAAGCTGAATAGGCCTATATATATATAAATAAATTGAATCAGTACCTAACCTTCCAAAACAGAAAGCACCAGGCCCAGATGGATTCACTGGTAATTCTACTAAACACTTAAGGAAGAAATTACACCAATACTCTCCAGTCTCTTCCAGAAGACAGAAGCAGAAGATATAGTGCCTAACTCATTTTATGAAGCCAGCATTACCTTGATAACAAACCAGACACAGACATTACAAGGAAAAAATATAAACCCACTACCAACCAGTATCTATCATAAACATAGATGAAAAAGTTCTCAACAAATTATTAGCAAATAGAATCCAATAATATATACAAGGAAATATAACCACAAGCAAGTGGGATTTACCATAGGTATGCAAGGCTGGTTTAGCATTCAAAAACCAAATAATGTAGTCCATTACATAAACAGGCGAAACAAGAAAAATAACACGATCATATCAACAGCGCAAAGAAATCATTTGACAAAATTCAACACCTATTTAGGATAAAAACTCTCAGCAATCAAAGAATAGATGGGAACTTTCTCAACCTGATAAAGAAAATAGGTTTTATTTATATTTATATATAACTAAAGTGAGATTCTGAGAGGTTAAATAATTTCCCAGTATCTCATAGATAGGAAAAGTTAAACTTGAATTAGACTCCATTCTTGCTGTCCCCAATGTCTTCACTCTTTGTACATTCCTTCACTTACACAGAGAATAATACCAAATACCCACACCTTTAGTGAAAAAGGCTGTTTTCATTTATTAAAGTGGTACAGTTATCATCTAGTCTGTCTGGTATACCTGTAGTTGATCTGATGTTCCTCTAGTAACTGAGTTATTTCCTGTATCATTCAGCTGTTTTAATCTGCTTTTATTTCCATTAGCCTCAATTCTGTCTTAACTATAATGAATGAAATACTTGCAAACCATTCATAGGAAATAGGGGACAAATCAACCATTTCTTGGTTCTTATAAGTTAATTTCAGAAACACAATAAATCTTCAGATCACCTGTAAGTTATTTTCAAAACATGAGTGTCAAAATCATGCCCATCTCCTTATAAGAGCTGTAAAGATTATAATATCTGTAAAGTAAATACAAATTCTTTGAGAAAAATGTTTAGTTTTAATCAAATCCAAATACCTTTTGATAATTCTTTGAAACATCCCGGGACCAATATCAGTTATAATTTCAAACTAGTATGGACTAGACTAGCTTCCGACTTGGATAGGAGACTTTTGGTTATGTCTCAGGGGTGGTGCCAGAGGAAATGATATTATTGAATCCACAACCAGTGTTCCCTGGAGGAAACTGATGACTCAGCACAATGCTGAGTTGGTAGTTGGCAAAAAGAGATGCCATATTTCAATTGAGATGTCAAATATAAGCTCAATACACTGACTCAGCCACCAAGATTAAGCTTTGCCTTCAGGTCTTGGATTACCTTACTTTGAGTGTCTTTTTCATCCCTAATCTTTTCCATCGTGAAAATCATGACCCTTTATCGTCTCACGATTTCCCGGTCATTATGAAAATAGCTACTGTATTAAATTCATTCTGGAGAATTATATTAACAACTGTAACTAAAATGGGCATTGGAAACAAGAACCAGTTTGTAAAAAGTCGATTTGATGATTGTTCTAATCTGTTGAAAGTTCTACTGTTATAAAGAACCGAAGAAATAATCATAAAACAAATCTGATGGAAGAGAAGTTACATTCTGCATGCAAATAGTTTTCTTTCTCTACTCAACTGTCATTGCTTAACTTTAAGTTAAACTAAAACCAAAGACTGTTGGTATGATAAAGACTGCGGAATCTCATTACCGAACCCAGAGATTGTCATCACCACAATCAGCAACAGGCAATTTCAAACAGATCTCAGAAATGTTTTTAAAAGAATTGCTGCATTGATGCCATCTAAGAGTTAGGATAGTGTTTTAGATAAGATACCTATTCTTGGTTTCACTTCCTGGTGTGGAGTTTCATTCTGATGTATTTGAGAGGCACAGGCATTGTGTTACTACTACTCTCTCACATTTTTTAAGAGTGACCAGTTTAACTATTTACAACCTACAATTCTATCTAAACTCTCAGAATTCTCAGTCATGGATTGCTATGTGCACAAATTATCCTAATGCCCCAAACACCCAATTTGTCAACAGAATTTGTTAGTTCTAGCGGAGTTAGATTTTTCTTCATTAAAAGAAAATCATAATCAGAAATCTGATTTGAGTTTTTTCTCCCTCATCAACAAGAAACTTTCCACTTACACAATATGTATGTATATATCAAATACAGTAATAACATATTATACCATAATAAATATGCATATATATGTTTAAAAATTGAAGTATGATATAGGGTTTGTTTTCACTGATGTTAGAAGATTTTAAGTCCTATTTAATTGGGATTACTGAGACTGTTCTAGCAGAAAACCAGTCTAAAAAAAATTTGATGGTGACAGCTTACATCTAAAATACTCACTTAATGCCACATTCACCATAAATTTATAGTGACTATAACATCTTCAAAATACCTAAAATGAATCAGTCACCCGAATCTTTAGCACCTGAATTTTAATTCAGATATAGATTCTGGTCCAATGGGTAATTAAGTAGCTACAGTACCACACACACACACAATTTTTTTAACATCGGGTTTTTTCCTACTTCAATACCCCTGAAGAAACGCACACTGGTCTTGGAGTAATGATGGCTGAGCTAAGGCCCATGAGGTAGAGAGGTACACCTTGATTCTCCTGGAGGGGCTCTTTATTTTTTTTATCTGTTTAAAAGTTTATTTATTTTGAGAGAGAGAGAGAGAGTGTGTGAGCAGAGAAGTGACAGAGAGAGGGGGAAAGAAAGGATCCCAAGCAGGCTCCACACTGTCAGTGCAGAGTCCAAAGCAGGGCTCCAGCTCACAAACCATGAGATCATGACCTGAGCTGAAACAGAGTGGGACGCTTAACTGACTGAGCCACCCAGGTGCCCCTCCTTCTCCTGGAGAGGCTCTTTAGAACACATGAAGCACCATCTGCTTGAAAACTTGAAAAGGTTTCCCCATTCTTAAAGATGTTTTGGGTGGCAGAAATACTTATTTGGTTTAGAATTACTGATCTAGGTAATATGTCGTGTTCATTCAAATCTAAGGTGTCTTTGCGTGGATGATCTTCAGATGTGTACACGAACTCTAGTAGATCCAAACATTTGAAAGTGTAGATATATTTACAGATGCCATTTGGGGTAATTTTATTTTTATTTTATTTTTAGGGACTTTATTTTATTATCTTTATTTTAAGGGACTTCTTAAAAACCTTCTCTTGGTCTTACTGTGTCTTTGTCATTAAGCAGTAAAAGATTCATAACTAAACAATATAAACCTAAGCCAAAAGGGTATTTACAATAAATTGCCTTATCTTTTCTCAGTTTTTCCTGCCTTGGTTTCCTCATCTGTAAAATGGCAATTATTTCACCAATGACATGGGATTTGTCAAGGGTCCCCTGAAACAAATCCAGACTCCAACATTAGAATTTCACATAGAGCAATATCGAATGTCAAGTTGGAGGGATAATTTAGCCATCTGCAAAACTCTGTCAAGATCACACTTTCTCTTCTGGGGATTATGCAGAAGCACTACCAATTTCAAGTAATGGGGAACTCCACTTGTGATAATGGCAGATTAAACAATCCGGATTACCACTTCCCACAGAAAATAACTGAAAACTGGATAAGGTTTTACAAAGCGGGTAAAGGTTTTCCTAAAAGTAACTGTGACTGACGTTGGGGTATTCAGATTAAACATTACTTCTGGGTGTGTGTGTGTGTTAGGGTGTTTCCAAATTACATTATCATTTGAATCAGGGGACTCAGAAAAGTAGATTGCTTTCTCCCAGGGTGGGTTGGCATCATCCAATCTGTTGGGGGCCTGAACAAAACAAAAAGAGGAATATGCCTCTTTTCTCCGAGTTTCACTGCTTGAGCTGAAACCCCTCATTTTATCTTCTCCTGACCTTAGACTGCTATTTATACCATTAGCCCCCTGAGTTCTCCAGCCTCCAGAACTGGACTGAATTAAACCCCCATCTTTCCTGGGTCTCCAGTTTGCAGATGGCAGAATGGCTGACTTCACGGCCTCCATAACCACATGACACAATTCCTCAAAATAAATCTCCATATCTAGATCTATCTGCTATGGTCTGAATATTTGTGTCCCCCAAAATTCATTTGCTGAAATCTTAACCCCTCAAAGATTAGGAGATGGGAGCTTTGGGAGGTATAAGGAACTCTCATGAATGGATTAGCGTCTTTATGAAAGAGAATCTAGACAGATTCCTTGCCTCTTCTACCTTATTGAGGACGGAGTGGCTACAAACCAGGAAGAGGGTCCTCACCAAATGCAGCCACGCTGGCTCCTCAATCTTGGACTTTGCAGCCGCCAGAACTCTGAGCAATAAATTTCTTTTGTTTACAAGCTAAATCCAGACTCTATGTCCTATCGATTCTGTTTCTCTGGAGAACACTGACTAATACAGTAACAAAGAACTAACAATATAGAAAGGCCTTAACTACCAGGAGGGAGATCAAAAGTCAAAGAGCACAGCAAACCAGAGAGGTAAGCATGGTTTTGCCACAGGGGCATTTGCTGATCCAGAGAGGAGGAGGCTGAGACTAAGCAGAGCACTGAGCAGGATGAGTACCCTAGTAAACCACCCACCCCCCTGTTTTAAGTTGAAACTGCCAGAGACTGCACCATAGGGAATGACTGGTATCAGGGAAAGATTAGAAGCTTATCGCTACCCATCCTTTTTTCACTTTTCTAGAACTTGGTAGTGCTCACATACACAAAATATGCTATTTGCCATAAAAACTATTAGTTTTGCCCAGTGCTAGGCTTTTACAATAGGAATTTTGCCACCTTTATATTTTTGATTTCTCAGTAGCAGTATCTTACCTTCTGAAGTCCCTTGGCTGGAAATGCCTGTCTTTACTGTGTCTAGAGAATACTTTGTACACATATCAACTTACTATTTATAAAAGCCCTGTGAGGCAGACACAGCAGGTACCATTCATACTGTTTTCCACACGAAGCGGCTAAAACTCAGTTGAGGTGCTCATGAGCACGTAACTAAAGACAGGAACCAGCAGTAGAATACTAGTTCTTTGACAACTTACCCAGCTCCCCCCACAATGTTACCATAATAATCGAGAATAATAGCTTTCCACTTTCTTGGTAAAATTTCCAGTCATCCCACAATAATGTTTTTCAAAGCTTCCTGCATTTAGCAGGCAGTCAGTCATGCTAGCATACCCATGTGGTTGACTGTCTCTCATGGGAGGACAACCTTAGGTTCTGTGGAAGTGGGACAGTGGCCCCCCATTGCTAATAGGTGGTGGGAAGAACTGTGGATTCTTTTTCATTCCAGGAAATGACTCATTTTCAGAGTAAAAAGCTGGAAATTTTTATAAATCTTTTATACTTGATCTATTCTTATAAAATTGGTCTCCTTGGTCCAAAAGAATTTTAATAAATCCTGGAGACACAAACATCCTTCAGGTTGGAAAGAATCTCACAACTGTAAACATATGGAAACTGAATTCTGCCATAGGTTTATCACTCCATTTTCTACCAAGTTCTTAAAAGCCAGCACTATGGGAAGCAAGAAAACTTGCTGGCTGTCAATTGCTGCATCAGCCTACGGGATTCTCCAACATGCCACTGCATCACAGGGGTGGTGAAAATAAGGCCAATCTTCTGTGCCTTGAGGCAGCCAAAACTGTGTTAGCCTGTCTGACACCACTCATTACAAGTTAGCTGACTTAATTTTCCCCATCTTTCCTTTTTACTAAAATTGTTCTGTGTTGAGTATACCCATTTACATATTTTGAAAAGTATCTCGAAAACTAGAGCAGGGAATTTTGTCACTGAAACAATTTACACAGACACACACACATACACACGCAGTCTTTTTCATACATACACAGAAAGAACAAGAAGAAAGAACAAAATTATAAAGCACTTGGGATCCTCTTCCTGTAAAGGGGATATAAGTTGGAATAGTAATTAACTGTCCCACTCTGAAGCTGGGAAAGGTCATGAAAACTGTGATACAGGTATGTGGTTTGCATGCTTCATCATATGAAATGCCACATAGGTAATGACTATGGCCTAAGTATTTAGCTACTGTTAAAATGAGAGAAAGGATGACAGCAATGAGTTTTAAAATATCTAGATGCAGTTTTATTTTTAAATATACTCTGCCATGTTAAAAGAAGAAACTAGGTGTGCCTGCATGGCTCAGTTTGGTTAATAATCTGACTTCAGCTCAGGTCATGATTTCACAGATCTTGAGTTCGAGCCCCGCATCAAGTTCTGAGCTGACAGGGCAGAGCCTGCTTTGGATTCTCTGTCTCCCACTCTCTCTGCCCCTGCCCACCCCCACTCTCTCTCTCTCCCTCCCTCTCTCTCAAAAAATAAATAAACATTTAAAAAAAGAAGAAGAAGAAACTAAATGGCCAGTTCACAGGTCATCTGACAAGAGACAGGTGAGGACTGTATGACGCTCAGTAATAAAGCCTGGTCAGATTAGGTAGAAGAGTGAAGGTCATTTGAAATAACAATGTTCTCTGAAATGTAGTACACTCCAACCGTACTGAACTTCTTTCACTTCCTTAAATGAACTTTTTCATCGCCACACTACCTCATATTTGTTTTTTCCAATCCAGAAAAGTAATTTTCTCCCTCTTCACTTAACTTCTACTAAACTTTCAGGTCTGTGTCACTCCCTCTAGGAATTTCAGAAGGATTCCAATTATTAGTTATTCCCAGAGTTATTAGTTTTATTAGTTTTTTATTTATTTTTTTAGTTATTGTCATTGTCTCTTATCAGAGCCCTTTCTATTTTTTTTTTAATTTTTTTTCAACATTTATTTATTTTTGAGACAGAGAGAGATAGAGCATGAACAGGGGAGGGGCAGAGAGAGAGGGAGACAGAATCTGAAACAGGCTCCAGGCTCTGAGCTGTCAGCACAGAGCCGGACGCGGGGCTCGAACTCACGGACCGCGAGATCATGACCTGAGCGGAAGTCAGCCACTTAACCGACTGAGCCACCCAGGCGCCCCTCAGAGCCCTTCCTAAATTTTATGGTTAGCGTGTAAATAAATGTTTGGGTAAGCTCAGTTCAGGGACTCTGTTTGATTCACTTTTGCATCCCCAGTGCCTAGTGACAACTGACAGGGAGTGGTACACAATGGGCATTCAATAAATAATAAGTGCTCAGAAAAAAAAAAAAAACTGCGATAGATTTAGAGGTAGAATGAATTGAAAATCCAAATGTTAGGATTCATAATTATTGTTGGTTTTTGTCTCAAGCTCAGGGTTATAGACTTTAACCTTATCTTCCTTCTTCGTTTTCAGTCTCTAGTGCCAAATTTCATGTTTAAGTTGAAGAGTGAACACTTTGGTTAAATTCTCTGAAAGGGATAGAAATTACCCACCACTCTTGAAATGGTAAGGTGAGAAACATTAATCTGTGCATAAGATATAAAAACTCAATTAGTATGAAAAATAACAAAAGGAACCTACCTTCATTGTTGAAATGCATCTATAGAAAATCAGAATTGGGAAAGTAGGAGACTATTTCAGAAAACAAAGATCATCTCATTTTATGATTGTATTTTATTTTCATGAGTCTTTGAATCAATCATCTCATTTTAAACACTGTATGCCTTTTACAAACACTACACTTTAAATATAAGGAAAAATATAAATTGCAAGTAAAAAAGATGCACACACTAATCAAAGAAACCAGAGGGTTCAAATTAATAAAAGACAAAGTAAAATTTAGAACAAGTTATTATTAGAGATAAAAAAAGGACCTAATGATAAAGCATCAATTAGACAGAAATATATACATTCAGAAGTTATATGAACTAATAACATATCTTCATAATTCATAAAGCAAAAGTTTTAAAATGGAATATACTGTTGTATATGGAACATTGATAAAGAAATTCAGTAAGTTCACTGGATCTACAAAAATTGATTCCATTTTGATATAAATGCAACAACTACTTGGACGATACTCTTTACCCACAGGGGATACATTCCAAGCAACCCCACATCCCCATCCCACCCCCCACCTCCCACTCCAGCCATGGATGCCTGAAACCATGGATAGTACAAACTCTCTATATACTGTTTTTTTTCTTAAACATATGTCTGTATGATAAAGTTTGTTTATAGATTAGATGCAGTAAGAGATTAACAATAACCGATAATAAAATGGAACAAAATAACAATAAACCGTAATAAAAGTTATGTGAATGTGCTCTCTCTCTCAAAATGTCTTGTATTGGACTCACCCTCCCGTGATCTTGTGAGATGATAAAATGCCTACGTGATGAGATGAAGTGAGGTGAATGACACAGGCTTTGTGACACAGTGTTAGGCTATTACTGACCTTTTGACAATATATCCGGAGGATCATCTATTTCTGTATAAAAGCTGACCACAGGTCACTGAAACCGCAGGCAAGTGGGGATAGTATAAAAGGTTTTTTTACTGAAAAATACAATACACTCCAGAGAGACTTAAAGATAATCTAAATAACATTCATCTGGATTAGATTCATGGGTTATTAATGGGTTGGAAGACTCAACAATGTTATCATGCCATCCCTCCCTTCATTGGTCTATAGAATCATTACAGTGCCATTAAAAATTCCAGCAGTTTTGTGTGTGGGTGTGGGTGTGTGTGTGTGTGTGTGTGTGTGTGTGTGTATGTGTGTGTGTAAACTGACAAACTGATTGCAAAATTTATGCGGAAATGCAGAAGACTGATAATAGCCACGGCAATCTTAAAGAAGAAAAGTTGGAGGATTTACACTATCATACAGAAGACACATTTCAAAGCTACAGAAATTCAGATGGACATATAACTGGTATTATATAACAAAGACTAATAGACCAATAGAACAGAATAGAAATCAAGCCACACACATATGGCTGCTTGATTTACAGTAGAGGCACTGCTACCATTCAGTGAGGGGATGATGGTTATCAGGAGACTAGATAGTCTTTAGTATATTCAGATATGAAAATTGAAACGTGAAAGTGTGGAAATTGAAATGTGAAGTGTGAAAGTGTGGAATTCTGCTGCTCACAACAACATGAAT